CGAGGAAATGTTTGGGAGTGAAGAGTATTCAGAATTTTTTGAGAAACAGGACTGCCAAAGTTTAGAAAAGGAGCTACAGTAGAGGTAGAAGAATCACCTTAAGTAAAACTACATGAGTAAGAATAGAAGTGTTCACACAGTCCCGAGGAAGCCGGAGGTAGGAGGATCTCAAGTTCGAGTCCTGCCTGGGCAACCTAGTGAACTCCTGTGTCAAAATTTAAAAATAAATAAATGGGCTGGGGAGGTAGCTCTGTGGTGGAGTGCCCCTGGGTTCACTCTCTAGTACCACAGCAAACGAACCTCACACTGATTCATTACTCTGTACTGGACACTTTGCTAAGCCACTGACATTCGCTATCTCATTGAATTCTCACAACAGCATCGTGCAATTTTTGCTACCATTACTCTCATGGATTAGTAAGCTACCATCATCCCTTGCCACAGCCCTTGATATAACACTGGAGCACAAAGGAGCCCTGATCTTTCTTCTTCCATGTGTGCCTAAGTGTATTCCATTTTCCACAAAATCCATGAGAATCATTTTTGTAGAGGGAAATCATGCCGTATCACTCTTTTGCTATACCTCTCCTGCTGTTTCTTATCACTGCATAAACTCTGAGGTCCCATGGTGGTCCGAAAGGCACACATGCCCTGGCCCCGCAGAGCTCCTTGACCTCATGTCCTTCTACCCTGACCCACGGTGACCCTCCAGCCAGGCCAGCTCCTTGCCATTCTCAGAACAGTCAAGTTCAGTTCCATCTCAGGGTCTACCACCCCACTCCTCCCCCCGACGCTCTCCTGCCTCTTGCAGTCTCCAGTCACGGCCCACCACCTGGAGAGCCATTTTCTAGGCAAACAAACCTCCCTTCTTCACCTTTTCCCCTTTGCCTTGCTTTTCTGTACAGCACTTGGGGCCACTTGACACTACGATAAAAGTCCCTTTCCCCTGCTATTCATGGCTTCTCCTTTCATAAGAAAGTGAACATATTACAGGACACTTGTCTTCGGTGCCCCTGAATCCTGTTCTCTTAGATGACTGGCACATTAATAACTCAATAAATATTTGTTGAGTGTACGTGATTTAGAGAAGTGAAATAACTTTTCCAATGTTCAAAGCTAATGGTGGGTGGGTTAATATATTCTGAACCCTCAGCCTGTCACAGAAGACTCACTTTGGGAAGAGACATACAAATGGCAGAGGGGCTTACGATAGGAGATGGGAATGGGAGCAAGGGCTTTCTTCTCCCTGCCGGGAAATGCTCAGTAGAACCTCTGTGTCACTGTTGTCTTTCTAAATCCATGCAATAGCCAGGAAGAATTGTATAAAAGGTGACGCTAAGGTGCATACTCTTCAACAAGTCAGGAGTCTGTCAGTAAATTGGATCCAAAGTGCGCTGCTCTTCCTGGGCTTTGCAGTTGCTGGACAGCTCCAGAGGCTTTAGAATTGCAGAACCAGGACTGCAGTCCACCCACTGAAATTTGCTTTAGAGCCTTACTCAGGGTTTTCATTTTGCCTCCCACTTCTTGGCATTATGTCCTTTGTCCCTTTCTCCTTCTGTGCCCTCCCTCCCTGGGGGCCTCGATAGCTGTATGTTGAGTACTTTATATTTTTTAAAAAAGCAATTTTACAATTTAAAAAAATGGCTTATCTCTTTGGCTAGGGGGAAGCAAGGGATGTCGGCAGACTAGATTCTCCAATGATGTGGACACAGTTTCTTGCTGGAATTTCCAAAGTCAATTTAAATACGATCTGAATTTTCAGAAGATTGTTTTTAAAATATAGACATTCGAGAAGACAGCCTTTGAGAATGCAAATTTTGAAGAACTTGGAATCTTTTCATTTTGAATATATTAACCACAGAGCTTGTCTAGCTGGATATCACAGTGTGTACAACATAAGGAAATTATCGTAATAAAAACAGCTTCCCGCCTAGCTGGTGTTTGGTGCTATCTTTGCCCTACACCAGTTTTTGTATGTTATTGGTTAGAAAAGTAGCTGTGGGTTCAAGAGATATAAAGCACAGAAAATTGTGACAACTAGCTCAAAAACAGTGAATTTCAATCATAAAAGTATGATTTGCCGTATGAAAATGAAACTTACAAGAGGTTGTTTGCCTTGCTGTTGGGGACTAAACGTGATTTAATTGAGGTAAAAGTTTAAGAGTGCTTAAAGATCACATAGCAATTAAGACAAAAAAATGCAAAGCATCTCACAGGCAGGAATAAAGGTGCAAAGAAGGCTTTTAATGTGAGACTTCTGCCTTAGTTACTTTTCTCTTGTTGTTGAGACAAACACCCAACACCCAAAGTTAAAGTAGGAAATGTTTATTTAGCTCACGGTTTGTAGAGGTTTCAGTCCATAATGGGGTGACTCCAAGGCAGGGTGGCATACGGCAGAGGGGTAACAGTTCACGACAGCGGAGGGCAGCCAAAGCAACAAGGGAGTGAGAAGCCTCTTTCTGTCCCTTACATCGTATCCAGCCGACTGAATTAGGGTGGTGCCAATCCAATCAGTAAACTGATTCAGCAATTACCTACCCTTAATCCCAGCATCCTTGTTTTTGTCAGACAGCAGTTAGTATTGGATTGATCACACACCCTAGATTCAACCACCTCTGAAAAAGCCCCGTCTAATACTGTGTGAGGCTTTGGAGGAACATCTAGACAAAACCACGGTAACGTCTCACATGCCTTTGGATTTCAGGGGTCTGGTTCCCAAAGGGATGACCCAACAATCTTCAGCACATGTTGGGCCTTTTCCCGTAACTTCTTGTATAATTTTCACATATCTGTAATTTTTGGTCGTATGTCTGGAAATGTTTTTGTAGGACAGCATTTAGATGTAAGTACCTCAAATAGAACCATAAATGGAGCTGTAGCTTAAAGTGTATGTGTGAGGGCAGGTCATGCTGTGACACCCCAGCACTTTGCAGCCCAGTGTAGCTTAGGGTAAAGGAAGATGATAGGAGAAGGTTACTGCCCCCACAGCCCCACAGCACTGCAACCTTCACGTGCAACCTCCCCATCCGCCCCACTTTCGGTTACATCGCGTTCATCCATCCATGGTGTAGTAGGCCCCAGTTTTCTGTTGATGAAAGAATGTTTCTTTTTTGGTATCAGTAATTATAATTGTTTTATTGTCCCAAAAGAGTGATAAAAATCATAAAATCGTTATTGTCAGTGGTTGCTGTTTTCTCCTCTACTGATTATACATGAGTACTAGGGTTCAGGGCAGAACTTCATTGAAAAGACACCCTGAGAAGCAGACCTCATTAACATTCTCCCACAGCAAATAAATGCTGTGGTTATGGATTGAGGAGCAAGGGAACTACTCAGTAATGCAGACATCCTGTGCGTGGAGGATAAGCAATGGCTTACTGATCATTGTGCTGTTAATTTAAACTGCAGTTAAATTTAAAGTTCTATTTGAGGATGATTGTGCTTTAGAAGTGAAAACACTAAGGGGCTTGGTGTTTTATTTTAATGTTCCTCTTGCTGGACATAGGGGATCAACGAGTGTTGAACAAATGACTGAACACACCTTTTTTGAGAATCATATCCTTTCCTTCTAGCACTTACTATCCCAAATCTACCTTCTAATATGCTAATTCCATCTCCAGTAAACAATCTAACTGCAGTTACTTTCAACCACATTCTATTAGAAGAATTTGTGAATCTGAGACTCCTCAAAAATATCTTGATTCTTACGATGTCAAATAAAGCCCACATACTATTGACTGCTATGCATATGTCAGAAGAATGAGGTAAGCCCTACTTTCTCAATGATCCTAACTTTATGGATAGCCTATTCCTGTTAGTAAGATGGGACCCCTCAGAGATCATCTCACACAACTTTCCTCTTTCTGACATTTGGAAGAGAGAGCTTTTCTCTGGCTCAAAACCCAAAACATTGATTGCCATAGCTGTATGAGAATTTTTTTAAAAACCTATAGTCCAGTTCTCTCATTTAATAAATAAGAACCTTGAAGTTGGGAGTGCTTTAATGATTAGTTCAGTTAAAAGGTCTCACTGTTAGTTAGAATTCTAGAGCTAAAGAACAATGATAAATAGTTCAGGCTAGTGACAATGACTACAGAACAGTGACCTCTGGAATGGAACAAAAGAGGCAAAGAATAGATGTTGAAACAGTCCATCTTGGTTCTTAGGAACAGGCACAAACTGAACAAATGAGCTAGAACTACATATATACACTAACATGGAAATATCTCCAGACACCATTAAATGAAAAAAGTAGTTGTGAAGTAGTCTGTAGTATAGGAGTTCATATATATCCATATAAATTAATAGTGTATGTTTTTCTCTAGACAAGGTATGGGTGAATGACTATTTAAACAAAAGTTGAATTCCACCCTGAAAACAGTGCAGGGCTCTAAGATTGATTATGGCAGTCAAAGGAGAGTTTGTATATATCTACAGTATTTGAGTGTTTTAAGGAGAATGTATGCATTCATTGCTTAGAAATTAATTTCATCAGCTACTCAGGAAGCTGAGGTAGGAAGATGTCTAGCTAGTTCAAGGCCAGCTTGAGTAACAGCAAGACACTGTTTGTGCTGTAGTTTTTGTTGTGCTCCATGTCACTCTCATGGCTTTGTTCCTATCACTATGGACTGTGCTCTGAGAGGTTCATCCTGCTGTCTTAATCCCAGTGGAATGTCTAGATTAATTCCACAGTTTTAAAGGTCATAATCTGACATACAGGGAAAAGAGGGAGACAGTGTTTTGGGCTTATCTTCCAAAAAGTACTCATTGCCCTCTGCTTCACACTGGTTATCATTTTATACCTTAAACATAACAGTAATGATGATAATTAATAATAGAAAGTGTACATACTACTCCTACTAAATGACAATCACTAAAAGGTCTTTTGAACACTAGAACTCTACCCAAGACTCCCTCCAAAGCACCTGCACACATTGTCATACTTGTCTAATCTTCATTCCAGTCTGTGAAGTAAATCCTGTTATTCTTCCATTTCATAGATGAAAAAAGATTGAAAGTAACCACCAAGCCTGACTGTGGCCTCATGAATGGTGGGTAGATGCACCCGGGTCTGACTGTCTGGACTCAGAAGTGGGCACTTTTTGGAGAAACACTGGCCACCTATGTCTGTAAGAAGAGCGCACAGGTTGGAAAATAGAATTTTGTTTAAACCACAAAATGCAGAGTTTGGGAGACTCCTTCTGTCTAACCTGCTTCCCCACTGCTTCCTCCTTGAGATCCTCTGACTCTTTGTACTGAAGGTCGCAACTGCCCTTGGGTTACTACATCAAGTACATAATTTTATCAAGTAGTGTGTAGTGAGGGGAAAAATATTCTCCTTTGGAGAGTAAAAATCCATCTATTGGCATGCACAGGACTAACAACTGTGTCTCAGTTACTAGTTTATGGAAAACAACCACAGTAAATAAAAACAGCAAGAATAGTCTTTTAAAAGAGATGGGATCTAGCTGGCCTGGGTCACTGAGTCATCCCTTTTATTGTAATATTTACTTTGAATGTCAGCTGTTATCCTTAAACATATGGAAAAGCATGAAGTAGTAATTTTTAATTACTGAAAATGATCAAAAGTGGTAAGTTTTGAAATTATTTTTATACTTTATAAGGAGCATGTATTTTTCAGAAGGCTGCTCAGCTTACTGTAAGTAATAGTTCTTCCCATGTCCCCTGCCTCTGTCTAAACTTTAGGAATTTTATTTCTGTTTCTCTGTTCACAACCAAAACATCTCAGATGCATCATTGAAAATGTGAGTTAAATCACAGGGAAAACATATAAATATATGTGATAGAAGAAAAATTCTGAGGTGTCCTAAATTTAACTACAATGGAGAGAAGATATAAGGGGAATTAATCAGTTAACAGCTATGGGAAAAACCAGCAAAAGACTTCCACATTTCTGAATGCATGTTCAAACACTGACTTATAACTCCAGGCAGTTAAGCACCAGGTACCACCATGTTGTTCTTACAACATTGGCTGGACTATTAATCCCAGTCAGCCTAGAAGCAGCAAAGCTTGTCCTTGTGAACTGGCCTTCTTATGAACTGCCCTTGGCTTTGTATTATCCTGCCCCTCTGACCTATAGCAAATGCAGGCTCAATGTAAACAGTCTGTGTCTTCCTTTTGCAAATTTTCATTACAAAAATGCTCTTGGCTCTTAGGTTCTGCAGACACACTCTAAACTGCTCCCTAGCCTTCCTGCTGGTAGTTGTGGAACTTGTCCCAGGACCTGGTCCTTTTCCGGCTGGCATTTGTAATCATTTGGTAAACCCTTCTGTTTCAGAAATCTCTGTCTCACTATTTCAGCTTAATGCTGATATAGAAAGATAGCTTTAATTGGAAAAATTTGCATAACTTGGGAGCCATTTATATATACATATGTGTATATATATTTATATTCGTGTTTTACTTAAAGATGAGGGCATGGTTTGAGGAGAGCATCCTTAGGTGACTTTGCCATTGTGGAACATTACAGAGTACACTTGTACAAATTAAGATGGCCATGATATTACTAGGTAATAAGAATTTTTCAGCCCCAGTATAATCTTGTTGGACTACCACTGTATACAGGCTCCATCACTGACTGAAACTTGTGATTCAACACTGATTGCATTCTTACAATTGCAATCAACACTGATTGCATTCTTATGCAATGCATGGCCTGACTATACACACACCTACCCGTATGCACACAAAACTCAGCCACACATATACAGTATATATATATTGCTCTTTAATTGGGAAAGGTTGCGTTACTTGAGAGCCACTTAATGAGGTACTTTACAATTCTCCTTTTGCTTCATGCAATCATATTTTTGCCTAGAGTGCTAAATTGGTTTTTTGATTCCCGCTGAATAATGCCTAGGGTTGCCACCTGTAGTTTCAAAGATGCACTAATATTTCCATGTTCCTTGTGATATTTCCCTTTTGGAAAGAACAACTCCACTCCCTCCTTCTTTTCCTCCATGTGGCGTAACATGTGTGCCACAGAGATGAAGCTTGAATGTCATCCTTCTGTTTTTATACGTGTAAACACAGCAAATGGGTCTCGTCTCCCTTGCACCTGTTCTGTACCCTCCCCCACGGTAGGGCCCAAGACAGGAGAATGATTTAGCAGATGTGAGCCCCGATGTCGCCACTGTGGGGCTTATATCACCTCTGCCAACTTACAGGTCGCTTGGCTCTGCTGAGCTCCCCGGTTACCAGGACTACCGCACTTCCAAATGCATGAGGAGTTTTGACAAATGTGTGGAACCCATTTCTGCAAACAAAGCCACTTATTTTAGGCTGAAACATTTGCAGCAAAATTTAAATAATTTATCTAGAATGTGTCAAATTGAATGCTTTCATGAAATCTTTTTGGATTTCTTTGGTTGAACATTTATAAACTAAAAGCCTTGTTATATTAAATTTCTCAAATAACTCTCTGCCACTACTACTAACAAGCTGTATGGACTCAATGTTCCCAAAGCAGTCTCAGGAATCAGAGCCTGTCCAGGAGAAATATCTTAGGTCATTACTGAGGCGAATTAGGACTTCAAGTGTTCTTTACTCAATATTGAATGTTTGGGCAAGAAAAAGGATTTTTGTTGGGTCCAGCTGCCACTAAATGTTGTCCATTATATTACAAGCCAATGACCTAGAGACATCCACAATCCCACTCTCTTAAAAAAAAAAATTGTATTTCATGGAAATATTGGTTGCTGAAAATTGTACTAAAAGTATAATCCTAAACCAGGTGTGGTAACGAATGCCTGTAATCCAAGCTATTCAGGAGGCTGATGCAGGAACATTGCAAGTTCAAAGCCAACCTGGGCACCATAACAAGACCGTATCTCAAAATAAAATAAAAAAGGCTATTCATGTAGCTTAGTGATAGAGTACTTGGCTAGAATGTACAAGGCCCAGGGTTCAGGCCCCGGTCTTGCAAAAAAGAAAAAGAAAAGAAAAAAGGAACCCTTTTAGTTAAATTGGTATTGCTCTTGGAAGGCTGATCACACCTGGAGAACCAGCCCAAAGCTTGTGCTTGGCCTTAGTGTTTCCGCAGGATTTGTCCCCTCGGGGGCTGGCCAGCACCTAGGGGTGAGGAGCCATTCTTGGGAGCTGAAACTTCAGAGGGTATGGGGAAGAGTGAGGAGCTGTGTAGCCTTGCTGGGAGAGCCTTGGACCTACGGAGTGGTCTGTCAGCCTAGAGGAGGTCCTGAGACATGCTGCCCCTTTCATTCTGTAGGGGGCTGGCTGTTTGCCTCGAAGTGATTTCTGACATATTTAGAAGTACAGACACAACCTTTTCCTTCAACCATCTTCCTCCCTGCACTTTTCTTCATTAGTGAGTCTTGGTTACACAGCTGAGTGGGTTTCATCTGGGCAGATTTGTGTATGTGGGAAACACTCTCTGCTCATCCCCATCCCCCCATCACTTCTCCTGCCCTCCCCTCCCCCAGCTTCCCACTTGGGGGGTTTCCATGTGTATAATGCATGTTGATTATATTTGTCTCCTCTTCTATAGGAATCTTAATAAATGTCCCTGCAGGGTCCAGGGTTTTACGTGTCAAGGATATTTTGAACATGTCTCCGCGCTGTCCAGGCCCCAGGACAGGCTGCACTCCGTGTCCCCCTCTCCCAGTGCAGTGATCTATCGGCCGGAAAGGCCCCTACCGGAGCACATTGTGCTGGGCTGTCACGGGTGGCAGAAACTGCTGGCCTCTCTTTCCATGACCCACACGACACTTTTGCACCTCCAGCATTTTCCGCACAAAGCGTGCACGGGAGCAGCACCCGAGTGTGGTTCCGAAGCCTTTTGCTTTGAAAGTCGTCTTTCTCTTTGGCCTCTAGAAGTCCAGTGAGAGATCTGAACCCTCCTGCTATCTATGTTTGGTAAGCAACTGTTAAAGTTTTGAAAATTCCTTGTTTTCACTCTATTTTAGAAATAAAATAGATATGAGCAGAAAAAAGCACTTGCTTCTCAAAGCTATACATCAGGAAAAATGCTTTTATTTATAACTTGTATTAGTTGTAAGCTGCCAAACAGCAAATTTACTCAGTTAAGAAATTAACACTGAAAAAATAACATAGCAAATAACAAAAAATAACATAAAATTATTTCCACCATTGTTCCCAGGGTTGAATGGCAACATAGATAATTTGGTCAAAATATATCTTTAACTTTTTTGGTACATGATTAATCTGTTGAGTCTTTGATTATAGCTGGATGAATGTTTCTCCCAAAATAACTGATTTTGAGCATTAATAATAGGCTTCTATTTGTTGATGACAATTGCTATGACTTTATTCTGTGCGGTAAAGCCCTTATAGTGAATTGCATAATTAACTTTCTGCAGTTGGAATTAGTGCAGTATAAATGGATTTAGAGGAATTCAATTGGAATTAAGTCAATTAAGCACATTAAGTTTTGCCAGTTTATGGCCGTATTTTTCATTATTTGATTTTTTTCTTTCCTAGCATGAGGTAATGTTGGGGGAATTGAATGACATTGAAAAATCCAGAAATGAGGAGAAACAGATTGAAACCACAAGCAGCAGGAGCATGAAGGGGGAGTCAAGAGCTTTAGGTAAGTCTCTGGTTAGACATAACTCTAGAAAGCTCTACTTGAGAAAGGGGAACATTTACCCCTGTGGCGTAAATGTTCTGCATTCACTGCCTCTGAAATTGCGCCATTCCTCTGTACACAATGGCTTTAATTAAGCCTAATGAAGGTTAAAAACATAAGCAATCAAACATTTGTCCTTTTTATGTACCAATGTTGTAGAAAAATCTCAATTGATTTTACTAATTTAAATGCCACCAGACAATTAACTGTGTTTTCTCTTCCAGATTTTGGGTGCATCCTGATTTTTCTTAATTATACTTAAAAAGCATATTGACTCCTTCATATACGCAATTAGTGGTCTAATTACTGCAGTGATGGGTGAAAATGTCATCTCCTATTCACACTCTTACACTGTTCATTGTAAATTATGGAGTTGGATGTGTATGACCACTTAGGAATGAAGGTCAAATTAGGACTTCAAACCAAGAAGCCTGCATCCCAGAGAGGGCACCTCACCCCACATTAAATGTTCACAGTTTGTGCCTTGCTGTCTAATTGAGAAGAGCAGTAGTACATCAGGAACTCATCCCAGATAAGTTTCCAAATGGGAATATTTTTACAATACTCTTGAAAGATATGTAGATGAGGCTCTTAGGCAATTTGTTGCAGCCTTAGCTCCAAAGCATCATTCAGATCTTCCTAGGGCTTCTCCTGGCCTCAGAAGCCATCGTGAGCCAGAAAGTGAAGCTCTGCTCTTGCAGAAGGAGGGTGATTTTCATTTTTTTTGTGGTGGCGGGGGGATAAAGCATTTGCTTAGAAGATTTCACACAAGCGTGCTTACCTTAAAAAGATATGAACATTATAAAGCCCAATACTTATTTATATTTAAAAAACACAAGATTTATTTATATATATATATTTTCAGATTCATTTATCAAGTTAATTATCAAGTCTTTATGGAGTTAGTTATCATAAACACAGGTTAACAGCCACAAATAGGCAAGAAAAACCCCATAAAACACAATTTACTAAATCAAGGTACACTTTTAGATACATTGTCCATGCCAGATTATAACATTTTTTTTCTGTCTGTTTTTCATATTGTCCATCTTTTATTTTGCATTTGATATACTTTTGTTATAGGTGAGTGGGTCAAAGTAGTCCAGGTTGTGTACAACAAGGAAAGAATTGCCAAGCATACATCTCATCGTATGTAGTAACTTTATTGAAAATCATGGGCAGAAGGGTGAAACTAGGGGGGAAAGGGTCTTTGTAACCCAGGCTTTCAGTATTTATAGGGTCGGGCATCCACTGGTCCTAGGTGCCTCCACTGTCTCTCTCTCCCACTGATGTCAGCAATCTGCACGACCTCCTAATCTTGAGCCTGAATAATCATTAGGCTGGTGTTGTGTTTATAGTTGAATGAAGGGAAGGGAATGACTCACCTCCTTTGCTTCTAACTGTACTATTCCTTCCTGAGAGCCCTGGTCCCCTAAAATCTTTGAGCAGAGTTGCAGGAGGAAGTTTTATCTTCTGTAGCTACTTTTGGCTGAAGAAGGGAATTGACCTTACCTTCACGGTGACCAAGGAATTTTTGCTCTGATTGATCTAGGAGTTCAAGCTGAGCCCTTCCTTCAAAGATTTCTTGATAATCCATAGATGTGGAAACAGGTTGTGATCTCAAATTATGGTCAGCACAGTAGTTTTGACAGCCTCTGCTGTATTGCTACTGTTGCTAGTGATTCTATTTGGTCTTAGAGGAAGGCAATACTCCAGGGAATTTGTCTAGGCTGTCTGTCAAGTTCTTAGGTAGTGTGAATTTTATCTGCATGATCACTTGAGGTTTGGCAGTCTCTAGGTGAAAATAAACAAACTCTCTAAATATGACCAAAGCATGAGTGCTAGAATGTAAAAACAGACCGGGGAAGGAGATGTGTCAGATTCTATTCTTAAGGAATTGGAATAGCGATTATAATCAGCTGGCTCCTACACTTGTCTACAGGTGTAGCTAGAAACTGTCCACAGGGGACAGTGATTGGAGCTCCTTTTTTTGTTTAGCCTATATTGTTATTACTTTTATATGTCTTTGGCTATACTCCCCTGCTAAGTGTTCAAGATCAGGTTAAAGAGAGATCTGTGTCAACCAAAATTTACCCCTTGCTGTCTATCAAAGTCAGTTAAGTTTACCCAGACATTGCTTTTGGAACCATGTACAGAGTCTCTCAGCTCCTCTGCCAGTATCACAGGGATTCATTTGGATGGGTCACAAGTAAGACTGTGACCCGTCCTAGCTGCCAGGATGGGTCACAGTCTTACTTAGCCAAGTGGCTTTCTGTGACAGTTTGGAAGACTTCTTTGGTGACCCTTCTTTTTGGTACACTGTGTACTGGTTGTCTCATGTTCTCTGGGGTCCAATAATGCCCTTGTTTAGGGGGTTGGGTGACTCACCAAAGTTGAAGGATCCTATTGAGAGAGGTTCTCTCATGTCCTAGATATTTGTTGACCTTGGAGGGTGAAGGCCAAGTTACTGACTACATTTAGGTCCAGTTACCTTTTTATTGTTGGTCTCTAAGCCTTAGTTGTTGCATATCCAGTAGGTCAGTTGCACCAGTATTGAAGTGGGAGGGATGAATTTAGCTATTATATTCTCATCTGGATATCAAGCACTTTGAAATATAAAATATAGCCAATGTTATTTTCTTACCAATCATAGTTATCTTAGAAGTTGAAATTCTATGGAATGTTGATATAGACAAAAATTGTAGTCTAACAGAGAATACTTGAGATCAAGAGTCACACATAGCATTTCAGCATGACAATTATAATGACTTTATCTTTGAAACACATTTAAATGTCTGTCCTAGTATACAATGGCCTTTTTAGCCAGTTATCTCTGTCTGATCACAAGACATTAGATGATATGAAGAAACTCTCACCTAATTTGTTATCCTTCATTGGGGTGCCCATTAAAGAAAAATGCACCTGTCTATAAACATACCTTAGAAGTTTATAGTGTCTAGCCTTTAATTTTTAGTGTAGACATAGTCTGGACTGCTTGATGCCTTAGCATCTCAAAATGTGATATGTACATAACATACACATAACATAAACTTTTAAAAATAATCATTTGGCTGGTGGTCTCTTGTTGGCTTGACATGCACCTCTAATCACAAGTGGCTGGAACACAAGCAAGAGAAAGGCAGATGTCTGAAATGAAAATATTATCACCATAAACAAACCTAGTTTTAAGTCTTTGAAGATCTGCACACATGGAAGGCATAAATATATTTAATACACCATAAAATCAGTAAAAATGAGTGTCTCAGCTATATGGAAACCTTTGCCTCTTAATTTAGCTTTATACCAAGAGCATCTTTTAATAAGAAAACCTCATTGTTTTACTCATAGAAAACTTAACCTTTTGATGATAAACAATGTAAGCATATTGCAATAATATGTCTAGCAGTTGGAGGGTGTGTCCCCCATTGGACTATGGAAATTACTGGGGGTCCCACTAGTGAATAAAGAGTGGAACAAGTGTTTCTAGGTAGCTGGTCCTTCATTCACCAAGGAGAGTCTTGTTTAGTAGTTTTCTCAAGCCTAACAGGTCCCCTTTTAGTTATCTTAATAAATTTTTCAGATGACCTATGAAAAACATAATATTATTCTTTTCTATTTTATGAAAAAAGGTAAAATTTCATAACAAAATAATAGGAGAATAACAATAGTTAATGCATTGCACATTGTTATCTTTAAAGCCTTTACTCAGAGTACAAGAAGCCAGGTGTGGTGGTGCCTGCCTGTAATCCCAGTACTCAGGAGGCTGATGCAGGAGGATCGTTGCAAGTTCAAGACCAGCCTGGACTACAGAGTGAGCTTAAGGCCAGCCTGAACTGCACAGAAAGACCCTGTCTCAAAAAGACAAAAACAAAAACAAAAAGCAGAAAAACAAAAACAAACAAACAAAAACCCCAAAACCCCTCTGAGTACAAGATATGGGCAAAAAATATCTCCAATTGATATAAGTACAAACCCTCCTTTTCAATGAACTAAGACATGCTAATAGTATAACTAACTTGCAGTTTTCCTCCTTTCCCTTCTGTCCTTTACCCTTTCCTACATCTGAGTTCCTTTTCTCTTTTGAACAATTTCTTCTCATTTCACAAAATCTATTGTACATTTTAGAGCTATTAACTCTTTCAGTTTCTCATGCCAGGGAGACAATATGATGTTTACACATGTGAGTCTGATTTATTTTACTTATGAGTATGGTCTCACGTTGCATCCATTTACCTATTAAAGTCTCCAGTTTATCCTTCTTTATGGCTGAGTAGTACTCCATTGTATAGAAATACCACATCTTTTTTATCCTTCCTCAGTTGATGGGCATTTGGATAATTTCCAATATTTAGATATTACAAATTGTGTTGCTATAAACATGGGTGCACATATGTCACTATGGTATGATGTTTTAAATTCTTCTGGGAAGAGCTCCAGAAGGGGAGTAGCTGGGTTGAATGGTACCTCTAATCCTAACTTTTTGAGGAATCTCCATAATGATTTCCACAGTGGTTGCACCAGTCCTCACTCCCACTGACAGTGGGGAAGGGGTCCTTTTTCCCCACAGTTCCTCCAGCATTTACCATTGGTTAATTTCCTGATGATAGCCATTCTTTCTAGAATGAGCTAGAATCTCAGTGTTGTTTTAATTTGCATTTCTCGAATGAGCAATGGTGTTGAACATTTTTTCATATATTTATTTTCTGTTTGTATGCCTTTTTCTGAAGAGTGTACATTCATCTCAGATGCCCATTTTTGGATTGGGTCTTTGAATTTGGGGGTTTTGATTTTTTTCAATTCTGTGTTCTAGATAGAAGTCCTTTGTCTGTGGAATTTGATAATCTACAGTCTTAGTCTTAGTAGGTGGGACAGGATTCCCACCCCAGCAGGATAATGGTCTATTCCTATGGAAAATCCCCAAAAGGTGGTCCATTCATGGGAGAAACAGAGCCACTTGCAAG